AGATCAATGTGACTAAATCCTACTTCACGGTTGTTAACTTCTAGAATTCTCCAGAAACATCTACATTTAACAGGAAGCCAAGATTTCAGGCAAAGGAATGAATTTGCCATGGTGAGACTCTAGACATAAGGGAGGGAGATCCTTCAATTTCATGCCATTTGTGACCAAGGAGACCTTACAATGAGCGAGGAGGTGGAAGTTAGCCAGGAGAGGGAACAAGGTATGAGGTGAGAAGGACATGGGTTGGCCAAGAGAAATGAGATAAGGGGAGGAAAGAGGATACAGCAGGCATTGGAGACCTAGGCAGAATCACCCGACCCATGACACTACCTCAGCTCAGAGTTACCCAGAGAAAGCCCAAGAGTCAGGGCCTCCCAGGTCCCCACCCCCCCAGGGTGGGGGAGGAATGACAGCAGCTGGAGAATAACTGTGGGCACCACAGAGGCCTGGGCTTCTAGAGAGGAGGAGGGGAACAGCAGAGCCCAAGCCCGTGCCCAGCAGCCCTGCCCTAGCTGAGTGGCCATTTCCATCTCCCCCAGGTAAGTGCCCCACACAGTGCTGGGTAGCCTTGGGCCTTTCCCTGACAAGGCCAGACCCTGCCAGGCATAGAAAGGGAAAAGGAACAGAGGGTGTATCAGGGCCCTCTCTCTGTGGGCTGGGAGCCAATAGGTGTTCCTGATCATGGGAGAAAACTGTCCACGTGAGGGTTCCTAAGTCACTATTGCACTTGCAGAGGTGTAATTCAGATGCCACCAGCCTGGAGAAGGGGTGAGAAGGAGACAGGGAACCCTGGACAATTTCTCCCAGACACAACTTTATGTAGTGCAGAAAGGCAAGTGTGTATACACTCAGAGCATGCAAACCTTTCACAGTGTTAGCAAGTGGGTCCGCTGAGAGGTGGGCAGTACCATGTAGTAAGTGTGGCGATAGTGTGATATGTATGTTTGCAGCGTGTCTAATAGGATGGGGGCGTGAGGCAGTGCGTGCTGGTCTGTGGGATTACCAGTGGTATGGAAATCAGCTGGGCATTCATAGCCTCTATACTGTCTATGGTCTGTGTCTGATGAAAACTTAGGACATTCTTTCTCAAGTACCTGTTGGTGGTCCCCATCTCAGAGCCCACGAATGGAGCTGCCTGCATCCTCTTTTGCTGCCCCATACCCTCCCCAACACACCCATGCACACAAACGCACACACACTATACCCTGCACAACTCTCATTAATACTTCAGGCCAAAAAAAATCTGAAAGAACAAAGGTTTGCCTGGCTGTGCTCCCCAAGACCTCCCTGACTTCATAAAAGCTGTCTTCCCATTTCCCACCTCCCCCAGTAGGCTCCAGAATCACAGCTTTCTTGCCCCCAAGATGACAAATCTACCCCTCAAGAGATGCTTTCTAGACCAGTCCCCCTTTAAGAGCCTCACCTCCTGCATTCAGGGCTCTCTGAGCTCACCAGTCATTCAGCCAGCCAGCCACACCTTTGTCCTTTCATGCACTGTCCATCTAGTCAGTTATCCACAGGTTATCTGTCACTGCATCCACATATCCATTAGCTGATCAATTTATCCATCTGCCAGTCTCACTAAGACATTGGGGGAGGGGAGCCTGCTTTAAAAAGAGTCCTGGGGAGGGGGAAATGGGGAGTGGTTGTTTGATGGGTATAGAGTTTTAGTTTTGCAAGATGAAAAAGTCCTAGAGATTTGCTTCACAACAATGCAAATATACTTAACACTACTGAACTGTGCCAAAAAAAAAATGGTTAAGATGGAAAATTTTATATTATGTGTTTTTTACCACAATTAAAAATAGTTTTTTTAAAAAAGAGTCTCAAGTCCTTTCTGTGACCCAGAAGGACTCTCTGTTCCTCTGTGGAAGCTTTGAAAAGCATAACAGTGGCCTCAGGGCCAGTGTGTCCCTGAAGATTGCCCCAACCACATGAGGATGTACGGGAGATAAGAGAAGTTGAAGAGGGAAATTAACAGAGGCAGAGCGGAAACAGGGACAATGGGAGCTGTGGAAGCAAGAAGAAAAGAGCAGAGGACTGGGGAAAAACTTCTCTCTCCGCCCTCACGGATGGTATCTTGGGGCAAAGGTAATTAAAGGACTGAGAGTGAGGAGACACTCACAGTGTGATGAAGATGAGGTGGGCATGGAGGGTGAGGCCTCGGTGAGGACAGGGTCAAGATGAATCCAGCTTTACTCAGGGAAGGAATGGCGGGATTGCCACTCATGTCCAGTTAAAGGAAATCCAAAAATATATGTTACATGACAAGACCCATAAAAACGTCTATACCCTTAGCCTATTATCCAACTCCTAGCAATTTATCCTAAGGGAATAAGTTAACAGACGCAAAGTGAGACATACACAAAGATATTGTTTGCATTGTTATCTAAAGTAGCAAAAAAAAAATGGAAGAGCTTAAATAGCAAGATACGAGAAGTGTTTGTTAGATGCTAGTGGAGAAACTCAATGGCCTACTACAAGAACTTTAAAAAGGATCACTCAGAATGCTGTGTGATCTCATGGCAAAATGCTTTGAGCAAGCATTAAAAAGGAAAGAAAAAGACAAAATGGCATATACACTATGATGACAAGTGTGTAAAATGAGTTTGCAGGGGGACAAAGACTCGAGGGCAATATACAAGTAAGAAAAGAACTTAACTAAGGTGGCGAAGCCACAGATGACTTTACTCCAAATAGTTCTTAAATATTTTAATTGCACAAATAACATTTTAAAAATTTGAAAACAGCAAGATCCATCCCATAGGTTATCCAAGTGGTGTGGGCATCTGCAGGGTTATTGACAGGAGTGAGGAGGACCAATGGGCTCAGATACTCCTGTCTAAACCGAATGGATGTGAGTTCGTCTCCCAGAAGTATAGGGTGAGGGCGTAGGCCTCGCTGGAGATACAGTAGGTGGGGTGGTTGAAACCTCAGGTTCCAAGCTACAATTCTGGTTCTGCTGCTCGCTAATCATGTGATCTTGGGTAAGTCATTTAAACCCTCAGTCCTCTGGTTCCTTTCTTGCAATGATGAAATAACAATTATCTCCAGAGTTGTTATAAAGTCAACTGAGATATTTCAAAATGCCCAGCACACAGCACTCTCAAAATTGTAATCTATAGAGCAAATGACTTAAGGTGAAAAAATATGGTGAGAGGGCAAAGCGAGTGTAGGAGAAAGGTTAGGTCTCTGAGCAACAGGCAGGAAGTTTGAGACACTCCTGCCTGAAGATGAAGGTGGTTGGGCTAATCTTACACACGGGTGAATGGGGGTGATGAAAGTTCTGCCAGTCTGGGAACCCAGACTTCTGAAACGCTTGAGCCCAGTGTCCCATCTTTGTCTCACTAGCTGGCTAACTTTGCAGAAATCACTTAATCTTCCTGTTCCTCATTCCTTGGTCTTTATAACTGGGATTCATTCATTCATCTAGCAAACCTTTAGCTGAACACTTGGCATGCACAAGGTGCCATACTAGTTGTTCTGGTGATTAAGCTAACCTCCTGGACAGTTGATAACTTAGTGATTAAGAGCACAGCTCCGGAGTTAGGCAGGCCTGGACTTGAGCCCCAACTGTCTCACTTGCTAGATGTGTGACTTTGAGAGTTACTGACACTCTCTGGACTTCCACTTCCTCATCTGTAAAATGGAGGAAATGAAGGTTTCTGTGTCAGAGTGCGATGGTGGAGATCCAGTGATTTAATGGATGGTGAGCTCTTCAGCGCCATGCCTCGCAGGGACCAGGGACCAGAGCGGCTGTTAAAAAAGACGCCCCCCATCACCTCCCCAGCTTGTCCTGCAGGATCTGACAGTGGAGATTGTTCTCTAGAAAGTGCTGGGACCACGCCACAGGTACTGTCTCATGAGAACATGGATGAATTGCTTTCTTCAAAGACTTGAAGGACTGTCTGGTGCAAGAGGGGTTAGACGTAGCAAGAGGGTTAGACTAAGAATTTAGCAAAGACCAATATGATGAAGATTTTTCTTATAGGCAGAGGAGGGCAAAATTAGACAGGGCTACCTCAATAGAGGGTGAGCTCCCCATCGCCGCTGATGTTCACACAGACACTGCACAGCATCCTTCTAAGACATTGTAGATATGATCCCAGCACTGTCCCACTGAAATATGTGACACTTAAGGTCACTTTTAATCCCGAAATGCCATGGGGAATCATTTCTAACCATGAGGAGCAGAGAAACTGCCATAGGAGAGGTGGAATTTGAGCTGAGCTTTGAAGGATGAGTAGGATTTTAATAGAATGAATAGAAACATTCCCTGCAGGGGGCACACTCTGCAGAAACGCAGGGAGTCCTGGGAGAACAGAGTGTGCTGAAACAGAGCAGCTGGTGTAGTCGATGACAAGGGCCCAGATAGAGGAGAGCAAAGTAAAATATGTACTGGCCCTGCCACACTCCCCTCACTGAGTAGGTGCCAGAACCTGATAATCTGCGAGAAAGCGTTCCTGTGGAATCCCAAAGCATCATACAACTGGGGAGTATTATCACAGTCATAACACTGCATGACATTCTCAATCCACAGCCCACCGTGGAGATCATTAGACACCAGCTTGGGACAGTCCCTGACTGATTCCATAGTGGGGGAGCTGCATGGTTTCTCTGAGGCTCAAGTTTCAGACCAAGGATTACAAAGGGGCCCAGGACATAGTAGCTGCTCCATCTTGACACTGGAGAAAGATCCAAAGTGAAGGACTAGGGTCTCCGCATGAGAGTCAGACCCTGAACACAGGACCCAGAGCATAGAGAACAGTGGGAAATGCATGGAATTTGGAGTCAAGAAACCTAGATTCAAGGCCCAGGCCTGCCCCTCTCTGGGTTTTACCTCAGGCAAATTATTTAATCCCTCTGAGACCCATGGCCTCATCCGTAAAGTGGAGACTCTACCTGAAATGAGAGGGACTGTATAAAAAGTGCTTTACTAAATTACAGAAATACTGATTGTTTTTATACAAACTTCTCTTTCTTGTCTGTGTCATAGGTTCTAACCTGGAGTAATGGCTAAGGAAAATCAGACTCTGCCTGAATTCCTCCTTCTGGGATTCTCCGACCTCAGGGCCTTGCAGGGTCCCCTGTTCTGGGTGGTGTTTCTGGCCTACCTGGCCACTTTTCTGGGTAACTCCATGATCATCCTCCTCACGCAGACCAGCCCTGCCCTGAACTCACCCATGTACTTCTTCCTGCGCCACCTCTCGGTGGTAGAGCTCATCTACACCACCAACATTGTGCCCAGGACCCTGGTTGACCTGGCCTCCCCATACCCCCGGGCCATCTCCTTCCAGGGCTGTGCAGCCCAGATGTACATCTTCATTGTTCTAGGCATTTCAGAGTGCTGCCTTCTCACGGCCATGGCCTACGACCGTTACGCCGCCATTTGCAGGCCCCTACATTACTCCACCCTCATGAACTGGCAGGTCTGCGTGGCCATGGTGGGTACCTCCTGGTTCATGGGCATCATCACAGCCACCACCCATTCCTCCCTAATCTTCACTCTGCCTTTCCCCAGCCACCCAATTATCCCACATTTCCTCTGCGACATCCTGCCGGTCCTGAGGCTGGCAAGTGCTGGGAAGCACAGGAGCGAGATCTCTGTGATGGCAGCCACAGTGATCCTCATCATGATCCCCTTCTCTCTGATTGTCACCTCTTATGCCCGCATCCTGGGTACCATCCTGGCAATGGCCTCCACCCACAGCCGCCACAAGGTCTTCTCTACCTGCTCCTCCCACCTGCTTGTGGTCTTCCTCTTCTTTGGAACGGCCAGCATCACCTACATCCAGCCCCGGGCAGGATCCTCTGTCACCATGGACCGCATCCTCAGCCTTTTCTACACAGTCATCACACCCATGCTCAACCCCATCATCTACACCCTTCGGAACAAGGAGGTAACAGGGGCCCTGCTGCACATGATGAAGAGGTAGATCTCCTCAACATGAAGGGATCACGGGATGTCTGCCCACTCCCAGACTGCTCCTCCTCCCAGCCTAACAGAGCCAAGCAGCACCCCAAAGAAATAAGGCTTCCTGGCAGAAAGTGTTGGAACTAAAACAGAGATACAGTTCTGTCTTACCTCCTATCCCACACCCCAGACTCACTGTCAGAGCATGAGTTATTAAGACAAGGTAGAATGGAAGGGAATGCTGCCTGTGGGGAAGAACATTTAGTGTCTGCCAAAATGTTCTGGATCTTTGAGCAAGATGATTGTTGTGGCTACACCAGTAGTCAGAGGTCCTTGTCAGTCATGAAGGCAGATGTCTATGAACTTGACATCCAACTAAGTAACCCATCCAGAGCCCATGGGGGAGTTTGCCTGGCCCTTTGACCTAGTTTTCTTCCAGAAACACTCTGCAGTATGCAGTGTTATGCTCTGGATGCCTTTTAAAAGAAAGGGAGCTATTTCCCCTTGAATATTCCACATGAATATTCTTCCCTGCCTTTCCCCACCCTTGATTTTTGACATCATCCGTAACTGGTGAAAACATGTTCAACTGGACAAGAGAATCTCTCTGGCTTCCCTGTCCTCCTCCCAGAGGGTGCCATCAGCTTGATCCCATACCCCTTCCCCAGCACCTCAGACTGGGTGAAGCTCTGAGGCCATCCTAGAAAGGACCTAGAGAGTGGACACTTAACACTCATTGTGGCCACCCAGCATTTGCTCCTCTTTCAACGTCAATGTTTGGAGAATTCCCCACTTCGGTAGTCTGGCAAGGAGAAAAACCACCTCCCTCTGTTGAGCTGAGAATACTTCCTAGCCCCCCAGGCATGTGACCTGGTTCCACCAATCAGACGCACCCATGCCTGTCTGCGACTGAGTGGCTGGTGCCCACAAGAGGCGAGCAGCTGGGCTCTCTGTCCCTCCCTCCCTCCCCCTCTCTGTCTCTGTCTCTGTCTCTGTCTCTCTCTCTCTCTCTCTCTCTCTCTCTCTCTCTCTCTCTCTCGGGCGACAGCAAGGGAGGCTGCAGCAGCAAGTGTCTGGCATAGAAGTGGCATCTGGTGCCTGGTGGCAGCACCAGCAGATTCCTCAACTGACTGGTTCATGTTTGGGAGTTAGTCCCGGGAGCTTAGTCTCTAGCATGGTCCCCCATGGTCGAACAACGCTGCGTTTTGTTAATCATTTATTTTTCTGCTTCCTCATCCAGGCAGCTTTTGTTGCTGTTGAGAATTTTGACTGATACAATCGGTATGGAGGCTGGAGGCAGCACAGGGAAAAGCTTAACCCTGGTGTACTAGGAATGAAATGGTCTAGACGCTGTTTAGAAAGAACAGCCAAAGGGAACGTGTGGTCAGAGAACATCCTCAGACAGACACAGAGTCGAGGAGCCCAGACATATATGGCATTCCTGATATTCAGAAAATAACTGATAAGGTCCTTGTCTTCATGGGGTTCCCAATCTGATGGGGGTGGTCATGGGGAGAATGGAGTGGAGAGAGAACAAAGCAGCACAAACATACAATGAGAGTAATTATAAAGGTGTGTAAACGTGCTTTGGAAACTTAATGATTGATTACAGTTTGAGGGTGTTTCTGGAAGGCTTCCTGGAAGAAGAGGCTCAGGCAGTACTTCCAACCTTCCTCACATCACGGCACACGAGAAAGTGCTAATATTTGCATGGCACACCAGAGGAAACTGAAGGGGATTTGGAGGCATCCAGAGGGTTTGTTGGAAAAAATTCATTGTACTCTCATTTCACTACATAATTATAAGGAAAGTAAAATAGTCTGTAATATAAAAGTTTTTAAATACTGGTTTTACATTAAACTTCCAAATAAAGTATTTAAATTTTTAGAAAACTTCAGCTTTCTTCTGTGAATATAACTTTTTATATTAGATTTTGTGCTTGAGAAATGACTAAATACCTCCTGATAAGATCTTTGAGTATTGATTTCTTAAAATAACTGATGGTCACCATCAAAGAAAACTATTCACAGAAGTGGGCAGTAAGAAATGTAAAACTTTTTCAAAGTCATTCAAAATTTTACAATAGCTGAAATTAAATGTAAATATATATATTTATATTTACTAGCTCATCCTCATCTTTCACTGACGAGTGGTAAAGTTGAAAATTCTCATAATCGTGAAAAAGGATCGCATATCCACTCATGCTGGTTCATGTCAAGTGTTTCAATGCAGTACTGTGGGAGCTCTACTGTGCAGAATGGGCATGCATTGTCAGAGCAGTCAGCATGCAGCCAGCTTAGATGCCACGATAGGGCACATCAGCAGGTAACAGAAGAGGTATTGGACATACATGAAGAGAGAGATTCAGGACCACTATGGAGAGCTGAACTCTCCAGAAGCCCCCTGGACTCCCCATCCTCCAACTTGTGAAGGTTACACCTTGGGCTGTGCAGTGTTCCATAGGCACATGGAAGCCCAATTCCTCCACAGCTCCACGGGCCCCTCGTCCACAGTGGGCAACAGGACTCTCGAGAGCTAGCTGCTGGGGTAGACATGAAGGCTGCAGAGCACCTCAGCCTACTGAGGCCAAGCAGTGGCTTTCGCTCCTTTTTCTCAGCAACTGCAGAAACCTCAGGGTGCATCAGCAAACCCCACTCCTTTTACACTTCCCCCTGAGGAACCCCAGGCAAGGTTATTCATGGTCAGATGCAATGGAACTGGGAGCTCTGTCCATTCCAAGACTGCACATGTGTAGAAACCAAGGGCTAAGGGGATCACTCTCTTACAGAACACTTGCAATCCGTGTGGCCTTCCACTGGGCCATGATGCGCACTTTGGGAAGCTCAAGCTTAATACATTCATTCAGAAAATACTGTGTCAAGCTGTGTGCCAGGAATTTGGTGCAAAGGAGAATAAAACACAACCTAATGGGGACGAGAGACCAATTAACAGGTGATTACAATCTTACAATTTTATGTGAAATGTGTACCAAAGATATCAGCAAGACAAGATGGTAAGGAACACAAAGGGGAGGTCCTAATCCAGCCTGACGGGATGTCTTAACTGCAGTCTGAATGGCCAGGAAGGAGAAGTTATCCAGGGGAGAAGTAAGAAAGGGAATAGAATGTGCAAAGGTCCATAGGTGAGCGAGAGCATGGCCACTCAGGGCGTCCATTACAATCGAGTATGTGAGATACAGGGAAGTGACAAGAGAAGAGGGAGATGTGACCAAAGTTTTCGGGCTTTGAAGAGGGCAGTTAACCACAGGTCTCTCCCTTTTAGGTTCTCTATCAACTAGGAAGAGACACTGGAATAAGACAGAGAGCAAAAGATCAGCTTCTTTACTAGTCAAGTTGGATGGGAGGATAAGGCTTGAAAACTGAAGGTTAAAAGGAGCTTCTTGCTCCCACCTTTACCACCACCACGTCCCCAGTTACAGGCAGGGAGTCCATACAAATGACAGGTCACTGCAAGCAGGCCTGCCCCGAGCTCACCACCTGAAGCAGAAGAGAGCGGGTGCAGCCTAAGGCAGGCCGGCCTGAGAAGCAAAGCCAGGGGGCTCAGGATGCGCATGGGCAAAAATGCTTCCTACGGTGTCATCAGTCAGCCAGTTCACTCCCTCTCCCGTGAAGAAGTGAGCGAGCGGCTAGAGAGAAAGGCAGGAGGTGTTTCTACCCTCGATCCCTTCTGGAAGTGGAATAGGCCCTCCACCTTGTGGAAACCCAAGAAGCATGGTAGTAGGTGTGCTCCCGCCTCCACACAGTGTAGATCATGAAGGATGCTGGGGGTCACGTAAGAATTTGGGGACTCATTCTCAGTGACAAGGTCAGATTTGAGTTTTCAAAAGCTCATTCTAGCTGTGGTGTGAAGAATAGATAATAGTGGCAGAAAATAGACAGAGGGACCACTGGCGAGTGTTATCAGTCAGTGTGTCTAGTTGCAAACAGCAGAGTCCCGTCTGATCATCTTAAGCAGAGAGGAATTATTTAAAGACTTAGCAATGCATAGAGTTTCCTGGGAATGCAGAGAGCCAGGGTCCTCAGTGGTGGAGCCAGGGATGACATTCAACGTTCACAGGGGTGGCTCCAGTATCCATACAGCTGACACCAGAAGCTCGAGTCACACAGCACCACCCAGTGCATACTGATGGCACTTGGGACAAGACATCAGAACTCGACCACAGCCGCCCCCAAGAGCCAGAGGCCTCCCCGACCTGCTCTCCACATGGTAAATTCTGCATCCCCATCTGCCACACTGCTCGGCTCCAAATCAAATTATCACGCAGATGAGTCTGACTGGCAGAACCACAGTCATGCTGGTGCCCTAGCTGCAAAGGTAGCTGGGAAAGCACATTATCTGGCTTCTACTTTGGGGAGAAGGGATTCATAAAGCAGAAAACTTCCCAACCATTAGAGGAGTGTTCAAAAGGTGGTGGAAAGACAGAAAACAAGACAAACGTCCACCGGTTACAAATCCCACTGCTGTGACTGGAATCGAGGTGATTCAGCACACTCTCCGTTGAAACAAAGGGAGACATACAGTGTGGTGAGCTGGTAGAAATTTGAGGCATAAAGTAAGTGATTAGGGCCTGAACAGGAAGCACAGAAAGGCAGTTAAGCCAGAATGAGCAGTAATAATAACAGCTGGTATTGTTTGAGTACATACTCTATCAGTATGATAACATGATACTAACCTAGGACTAGTAATTGTCTTATTTAATTCCCATAAAAACCCTATGTGGTAGGTACAGACCTGGGTCCCGATTTTGTGTGACCAAGAGCTTATATAATTTGAGACAGCCCTATTTAATAAAACAAAACTAAAGTACAAATATAAAATTAGGTGCAAATGTTTACTTAAAATGAAAAAAGAAATTACTGAAATTAGAATTTTTTTTTTCCTGAGGAAGATTCGCCCTGAGCTAACATCTGTTGCCAATCCTCCTCTTTTTTTTCTTGAAGAAGACAAGCCCTGGGCTAACATCTGTACCAGTCTTCCTCTATTTTGTACGTGGGACGCCACCACAGCATGGCTTGATGAGTGGTGTGTAGGTCTGCGCTAAAGCGGAGCATGTGGAATTTTAACCACTCGGCCACAGGGCCAGGCTCTAGAAATTGTGTATGTGTGTGTGTGAGGAAGATTCACCCTGAGCTAACATCTGTTCCAATCTTCCTTTATTTTGTACGTGAGATGCCTCCACAGTATGGCTGATGAGTGGCTGATCTTTTGGTCCCTGTCTTATTCCAGTGTGTCTTCCTAGTTGATAGAGAACCTATCTGCATCCGGGATCCAAACTCACAAACCCAGGCCACCAAAGTGAAGGGTGTGAAACTTTAACCACTCAGCTATGGTGCCTAGCCCTAGAAACTTTTTTTAAACTGGCAAATGCCACAAATGTGATATAATCCAAAAAAATAATATATTTTTGTTAATTAACTGCCTGATCCCCTCCATAATTCTTTTTTTCCTATCTTTTTTACGGTTTACTCTTTGACTAACTTCGTGTTCATATGATGATGATTTTGTGATACACTTTCTGCAGAGAGATTAGAAAGATGTTTTGTCTTTCCCCTAGCATGGTTGCTTGAAATTTGCTGTTCTTTTATTGAGAGTTTAGAAAAATTTCACAGCTCAACTCACTATTGGTAATTTTATATAAACTTTTAGGATTGTTGTCAGATTTGGTCAAACTCTTATGGAGTTTCTTTCATATCTTAGCTGTAAATTTTCACGGCATTTCAAGTTTTCTTGTGCAGTGAGTTATCTTAAACAGTCTGTGAACTGACCTCACTCCCCAGCCAGCTTGTCCTCAGGGTTCTCATTGTAGCAGCGTATTAAATTTATGTTTTCTTCTTTAATGTCAGTTTTTATGTCTAATCAACAAGAAATCTAAATCTTTTTTCAATGTGTTTGATTCCTTCTTCTTCATTAACTGGATGGTGTTCAA